CCATCGGTCTTATTAAAGTAAAAGCACTCTTACTCTGGGACTTACCGCCCAGCAGATCCTCTATTCAGCTAACTACAGGAAAGGTCCTCACCGGCCTTTTCGCTCACAGACTCTTAGGAGCAGCAGTTGGCCCAGGAGATGGGGCTGGAGGAAATCGAGTGCCTCACGGTCAAGGAGGCCAAGACACGGCTTCAGACTGACAAGGAGAAGGACACTTTGGTCGACCGCCAGATTGAGTTGTATGTGGAGACGGAGCTCTTCAGTGACCAAAGGGAGGACGACAGAGATGGGACCGCGCTCCCACTCCCTCTCCCACCCTTGCCAAGCCTCGCAGCCACCACCCCGGCAGCCGCTGCCCGGCCTGTCCGCGAGCAGCCGGCGCAGCAGCCGGCGCATTCGGTGAGCTGGCTGGACGTGGGCAAAGAGCTCTATGACGCGGCCGTGGAGATGGGTCAAGATATCATGGACACCCCTTTGTTTGTGCAGGACCTCTTTGATCCCGAGGAACCGTAAGTGGAGGCGGAAAGGCAACGAGCGAGCTGAGAAGAGAGACACACACATTACGACCCCCACTCATGTCTCCCTCCCTCTCTATATATGTGTTCGTGTGAGCAGTTGCGTCTATGACACCAAGACAACCGGCGTCCGGTTCGCCATGTATGAGCACGGAACGGACAAGCGACCCATCGGGCCTCTGCCCGTCAGTGAGATCCGCACATACGCCCTCGAGGAAGAGGCGGAGGAGCTCGGACAGATGGGTAAGCTCCATAGCGGCAGCGACACTCCATCGATTAATCCATGTCTCCTGGTTGGTTGCCCTGTCCTGTGCGTGTGTCACCATGCATGCATTCAGGCGACAGGTACTCGCACCTGAGGTACGACAAGAGATGCAAAGACAACAAGTGGGAGAGGTGGGGCCTGGCTCGGCACGCGAGCCAATTGTGGCGCATGTGGAGACAAAACGGACCGAGTCAGACGCTCAAGGGCCGACCAGTGGGCCCGCAGCAGGGCACCACAGCAGCCAAGACTCCCCAGGCTCCCCTCAGGTCCATTCTGAAGACCCGCTTCGACCAATCACAGCTGCAAGACTGGATGGTGTGTGACCCCGGTGGGCTGCCGGACGTGCCGGAGGGTGGGGTGGGGGGTGAGATGATGCGGGGGTGGGTCGGCATGAATATCAACTGGAAGGGCTCATGTGACCCCGAACATGGGATGGCGGTCATGGAGCTGGTGTAGCTCGGGCGCATACCTTTGGCATTTCCTGATTGGGTGCGCGAACCTGAGACGGATGCGGCGACCGACGACCAACCGGCGCTTTCCTGAGCGGGCAATAAAGGACAAGTGCGAGTCTTTTGTTGGTCACCAAGGCGCTAAGGCCGTACGTTTGGTTGTGTACGCTCGAAATGAGACGTCACGAGATAGAGGTAGCATTTCTCGCAGATGACCTAAGTGTATGTCTCGTGGGTGCGTTTGTGACGACTTAATTCATCCACGACACTGACATGAATGCATCTGGTATGTCTCCCAATCCATGTAAGTACTACAGCAGCGAGCCCTTCTCTTTGAGCCCTTCTCTTCGGTTCACTCACTCGGCCGGTGAGGACCCGGTCACGATGTGAGCCAGCATCCTCGCGTACGACGTCGAGCCCACACCATCCACACACACCTGCAAGGCCAACACAGCAGGACACGACAATCTTCAACACACCACACCCACACGCCTCGCACGCACCATGAATGCGATTCATCCCTGCCTGCGTACCTACCGTTCCCGCCTGTCCTCCGTGTTGGTTGACGAGGTCTCTGGCCACCAGGTCCTGCTCCTCCACCATGAGCTGCAGAAGGGGTTTGGTCTCCCCCACTGGCAGCTTCATACGGAACCGCAGCTGCCGCGACGGGGGCACTGGCTGCTCGCGGTCGAATACTGACGACAGGTGGAAGGTGCCCAGGCGGCGATCGTGCTGGGGGACGATGCCGCGACGGACTATCAGATCGCTCTCTGTTTTAATTACGGAGAGAGAAGGACAAGGATCCATCCGATGGGAATGTTGGTTGTGTGCGTGTGTGTCTTGCTTGCGGCACACATCACATGTGGATGTGCTGTGCTGTGCTTACGGTTTGCCTCGAATGTGATATCCCATCCAGTGAGATCTCGGACGCCACGCTGATATGCCCTGCAGGGAATGGAGTCCAACACAACACACATGGATGGGCGAGGGAGGCGACCGACATGGAGCGAGAGGCCACATCAATCAGATCCACGACTGACGTGCGTCTGTCTGTCTGTCTTGTGTGCGATGGCCATACAATACATACGATAGCTGCAGTAACTGCTTACTCACTCGCGGTAGAGTGTCTTGTAGATGCATCGATCCTTGAAAGACTGCAGCTCCTCACGGGTCTGACCAGCCAGCCAAGTGCATCGCATCCATCGGGACACAGACATAAATACATACATGCATCGCATTGGGTGGGACACACCGACCGACATGCGGCAATTCCTCTCTCTGACCTTGGCGAGGTCGGTCTTGAGCATGTGGTTCTCCTCACTGAGTGTGGCCCCCGGGCCCTCGGCCAGGTGCTGCGCGTCGGTCTCCTGGTGCATCCCCGCCTTCTGTAGTTTGTCCAGTGCATTCTGCAGCTGGATGGCCATCGTGTCCGCACGCTTCTCGATCTCCTGACGCGCGGACTCTAGCGCATCCTGACCATCCATCCATTGGCGCGTAGGTGGCTGTGGCTGCGGCTGTCTGTCTGCCTTGCGTCCATCGCATACGTTTTTGATTCTGAGTTGGATGTTTCGTTCGAGCTGCTTCTTGGCGGCCCTCTTGACGATCTCGTCTGGGCTGCTCGCCGCCTGCAGGATGTACAGCCCCTCCTCGGCCACGTCACGCGCATCTGCATACACACAGACAGACAGACAGACAGACAGGTGTTGCGGACTGGTTGGTGTTACAATGGGCTGACTGAGTGGCTGACCCATTCGTCTCTGCAGTGCATCGGTTAGTTGTCGCTCGAGGTCCTTGATGCGCTGCGATGACTTGAGGGAGGTCTCCTTCAGATGCGCCTCAATCTGCCTCCATCCATCCATCAATCCATCCATTTGTGTGAGTCGATCGTTCTCTCGCCCACCCGCCCAGCCGCCCAGTGAGTGACCTTTTGCAGCTTGGCTTTGAGGTCTTGGTTCTCGCCCTCCATAAGTATCTGTCGCTGCTGCAGACTCTGCAGCAACAGCTCCTTCTGACGGACCTGGACAAACAGCCAGCCAGCCAGACGAGACGACAGACACATCGCATTGTGACGGCATGAGTGAGTGATGCCCCGAGGTCCCCTCCCCACTCACCTCGTCCACTTGCTGCTTGACCTCAGCGTGCCGCTCATCCACCTCATCCAAGATGCGAAGCCACCTCTACGAACACACACATCCACCCACACACCATCCATCCATCCACCAGTCAGTCCATCACATCCCCACCCCTTTCTCTCTCACATCGGTGTCGAACGGCGGCCGTCGTGGCGGCGGCTGGTCGTCCATCACGTCACCAACACCCATGTCGGCCACAGCAGATGGCGGCACGTCAGGCTGGGCAGCTGCCGCGGCACCTGGGCTACCTCCCCCTGCTGCCGCTGCTGCAGCAGCAGCAGCAGCAGCTGGTACGGTGGATGTCTGCTGGGGGCTGTCGGGCTCCGCTACACGGGCTCGTTTGCGCTCGCGCTCGTTCAGAAATTCCTGATGAAAGGAGGTGACGAGTTGAGTGAGGGGAAAAATGATGGATGGGCAAGGTGTGGTGTGTGTGTGTACCTTGTATGCATCGACTATGGGCTTGAGTTCCTCGTATTTGGTCTTGTACACCGCAGCACGGGCATGGACCTGCACTCACACACACACACACACACGCATTAGCCAGAGTGTGTGACTGTGTGAGTGTGTGGCTGACTGACTGACCTCAGTTTCGACAGCTCTGATGTGAGCGTCGCGATCGGCAATGATCCGCATCAGACGCTGCATGGCATGCATGCACCGGTGCAGTGCAACCCCCCGTCCGTCCATCCATCAATTCATCCGTCCGTGTGATGTGTGGCAGCCACCTCGCCTCGCCTCGCCTCGCCTCGCCTGACCTACCTACCGATCTGTCTTCCTTCCAGTTCCTCTCGGCCTCCTTCAGGCTGGCTATCAGGTGAGACTGAAGACACACACAGACCGCACCGATAGACACATAGAAGAGGTCAAGACATGGGGTGCGGGTGTGTGGCGTGTGTGTCCATCCATCCATCCATCCATCCATGGGCCCACCGACCGACCCACCTGGACGCCGGCCCTCTGTTTCTCTTCCTGCAGCTCTCTGTACTGGTTCTCCAGCAGCTGCTTCATGCTGCGAGGGTCAACTGCATGGCCATCATGGATGAAGCAGTCCATCAAGACACACGCACATACGAGCGTGCCGTGCCTTTGTGTGTGGTGCATGAGTGCACATCCATCCCATCACATGTATGCTTGTGACAGAGAGACAGACTACCAGGCATGTTGATGACCTCCGGGACGGCTCGCCACTGCAGCAGCTCCTGTCGTGTGTTCATGACGTCCTCCTTGAGCTTCTCCACATTCACGTCGTAGGCCTCACGCAAACTCACCGTCAAACTCTCAATGCGACGCTCCATCTCTGCAGACATGGAACGTAAGTGACCCACGCACAGATGCATCCGATGCGTGTAAGTGCAGGGAGGCAGGCTGTGTGGCCAGCCATCCCATCTGTGCCAGGCACCCCACCTTTGATCTGCGTCTTCTGTTTTTCGAGCAGCGCTGCGTCGCTGGACTCGTGGAGCTGGTGCTGCAATGTGACGACCTGACGGTCCAATGCTACAAGGCAAGAAGGAAGCCACACAGCCAAACAGCCAAACAGCACAGCCACACACACATCCATAGCTAGGTAGGTAGGTAGGTAGACACACAGAGGTGAGATGGGTACCGACCGTGTAGGGCGGCGCTCTTCTGCTGCAGCGACTCCTCGGACGTCTTGGTGATCTCCTCCTTCTCACTCACGGCCTGTCTCACATAACATACATTCCAACCACACAAAGTGTGTGTGTCGCTTCGCTTCCAGCCACCCATCGGCCACCAACCTTTTGGCATCTCTCGTCGGCCGCGACTGCAGCGTCCTGCGCCCGCTTGAGCTGCTCGGCCAGGCTGGCCTTCTCCTGACGATACTTTTCCTCTGTCGTCAAATTCTCAACGATCTCACTCTGATGTCACATGTGAAGTATGCGACTGCTATGATATGTGCTGTGCTTGTGTGCAAGTGGGTGCGCGTGTACCATTTCTGTCTCCCTTTGCTGCGTGTGTCTGCGGATCTTGTCGAACTCCCTCTCTATCTCCGCATTGACTTTCTCACGCACACGGCTGGCGAACGTCGACTGCAGTGATGCAACCTCCTCCCTGACAGCCAGCCGCGAGGGACAGTTTCAAAGCCATGCCATGTGTGCCCCTTCTGAATGCCGCTCACTTGTATTTGGCGTTCTCCTGCTTGAGAAGAGTCGCCTGGGCGGTCAGCTCGTCGTAGGCTGGCGCAACAAAGACAGCACAGCGAGTGCACATGGATAAGGTAAGTAAGGGTTTTGATTTGCTGCCTCTGAATGTATGTGTGTCACGTCACCTTGTTGTTTATCCTTGAGTTGCTTGGCGAGTGCGTCGTTGTCTGTCAAGGCTCGGTCGCACTTGTCGGCTGCCTCACTCGCCTCTGCCTTCAGACTGTCCATCCTGTCCATGACGACACGAGGCGCAAACCAATGAATGGGTCACCGCATCCATCCACCAGTCGACGGTTGGACGTGTATGTCTTACTCCTGCCTGGCATTGGACAACGCACTCTCGGCGATCTGGGTCCTCTGAAACGGAAACAAACACACGCCGACATGCCGACGGTGTAGAATGGCTGGCTGGCTGGCTGGCTGACCGATCTCTCGCTCTCGAGGTCTTTGGTGAGCGTGTTTGTGCGGCTCTCCAGCTGCAGCCGCAAATGGGTGTTCTCGGACACGCACGAGTCATGCTTGGCACGAACGGCTGACACACAGTGCAGACAGACAGAGAAACCCATGACATGCATGTAGCGATGTGTGCTGCATGCGTACCTTCGAGCGTCTTCTTGGTCTCAGCGAGCTCCCTTCTCTCGAGCTTCGCCTTTTGCAGTCGGCTACTCAGCTTGGCAAGGGTGCCCGCCTGGCACACAGAAACACACACACGCGTGCATGGACTCCACGGCTTCTCTTTCCCCGTGTCCGCTGCTCACATCTAGTTTTTCAGAGATCTCGTCAAGAAGCAGTCGATCTTGATGGGACTCCTCATTCGCAGCGATGCTGCTCGACGACATCGCGTTCGAGATGTCTTCTTTTTCCAAACCCTACAGGGCAGAAACCCTACACCCATACCCTTGACCCTAGATGCGAGTGGAGTGGAATAGAATTGAATTGACGCGTACCTTAAGGTGGCTTGGGCTGCTGTCGGTTCGTCGCTTCTCTGCCAGACGTCCGCACGCATCCGATCGCCGCATCATAAGGTACAATGCATGGTGCGAAAGATGAGTCTCGCCATGGCGTACGTATCCCGCTGCAGGTGATGGTGTACAGCTATCTGCATCGGTCCCAGTAAGCCACCATGTCTGCACCTACCGCCGCTCAACCGGCCACTGGCAGCGACGTAAGCCGCACATCCCTCCCTGATCCTTGTGGTGTAGATAGATGGGATGGATGGATGATATCAATGTAATGTGTGCTGTGCAGGAGCCACCTGTGAACGGTGAGTTCTATCGCCTTGTAAGTAGAAGCGGCCGACAGCCCGAAGATAGAGGACCGGTGTGCGAGCAAACACCACACAGACAGACAAACACTGAAGATGACCATCCATTCATCCATCCATCCATCTGTGGGTGTGTCAGGCACAGTATCGGCTCCCGCGTGAGGCCTTCCCGCACATCTACGGCTACTCGCCCCCTTGGGACATCACCCATATCGCACCCAACAAGCGCATTCTCGCCAGCTCACCGGCACACTACACCCACTTCGTCATTGACTGCTCAGACAAGACCACGCGCCGCCTATGGGAGCGGGTGCCCAGCAACGTGGCGCGCAAGTGGGGTGAAAAGGCCGTCAACCTCAGCACCGTCACGGTCCGGTACCCTTCGGACAGCACTAGGGGCCCCCCGACATTCGGCTGCCCGTGGCGCACGGGCACCAGGTGGTGCGAGAAGGCGTGGAGCATGCTGATAGAGGGGCACGCCACGGGGAGGGAGGCCATGGTGCGCGGCACGCGCAGGAAGGCCCAGAAGGACGGCGCGCAGCCACCAGCCGGAGGAGAGGAGGGGTCCCTCCACACCATCACCTTCCAGCCGGTCGAGCTGACGGACGAGGAGCGCAGCACCCTGCACTGGGATCTATCTCAATGCAGGCCCAGTGCCCTTACCCTCCCGGGACTGAAGACCCTGCGCGGCGTCCAAGGCGCGCATGCCAGCCATATCAACGAGTGGACGCTGCCGTCCCTGGAGCGTGTGGAGGGCAGTGTGTGTGGGGTGTTCCTGCGCTCGTCCCACAGCCTCATGGACGTGGATGTGCAGCCGACTCCGCCCATGTGGCTGGCTGAGGTACTGGCGAGTGTGCTGCCGCCGGCAGAGGGCCAGCGTGGGCAACTGGCGGGGCTTCGGACGATAGGCGTGATTCAGCTGGATTTCACATTCGACGAGGGGGAGCCTGAGAGGAGCTTCCATCGGCTGAAGGTGAGTGAGGGAAGCGGACATGGGAGAGACTAGAAATGCATGGATGGAAGGCATTTGTGCTGGTTTATTACTCTGTCAATCGTCTCTCTCTGTGTCTCCCTCTCTCTGTCAGAGGGTGTTGGTTGGCCACAGGAGCCGCTCTATCACTTCGATCAAGGCTGCCGTGCCGGTCAGGTGCGGCAGGATCCACAGCTCCCACCTGCTGCCTTCCTTGCGGGCCCTGGACGACCTCAAGGCTTCCCTCACACCGGCTACCAGCAGCACGTCGGCCATCTGCAGGCCACCCGAGATGAAGATCGGCCTGGTGTATCCTTCCCGTGTCAAGGCATTCGTGATCTCCCTCCCGCTGGGCTTGCCTCCATTCCCCTCCCCACTCATCAGCGACGCCATGACGCGCCTCGCCGCATTGGCGGAGACCATCATCTGGGACATCGACACATCGCACCTGCCCGCCCTGGACATGCCCACCACAGCTGAGAAGGAGCTCATGAGCCGCATGAGATTCCAGCAGGCCGCATCAGTGACGGTGTGGTGTAAGGAGGATGTCCTGATCCCCATGCCCGAGGCCCTGCAAGACCTCCCGGCCGACTCGCACCCCGCTGCGACTAAATTGGAGATCGACAGCCGTCGGGTGTGTGAGGTGGGGGTCATCCTAGCAGCCAAGATGCCGCAGCTGGGTCGTGTGGAGCTGCCGGCCATGGGAGAGAGGGACGCGGCGGCCTTCCTGAGGTCGATCGGCGGAGGTAGGAAGCTGGATAGCGTAGTGGTTGGAGGTTGGAGGGGGGGGTTGCAGGGGGTGGGGGAGTGGGGGCTGACCTGGGGCGACGAGCGGGATGGCCTGCCGGAGGTCCAGAAGCTTCAAGTGAAGATAGCCGGTAGGCATCAAGGCAGTGAGGCACTTATGGACGAATGGACGGATGTATTTTGATGCAGAATTCGTTTGCGAGGCCGCGTCATGCGGTGCATCGGTCGTCGCCAGCGTGACCTCTCTGCTGCAGCTGAGGGCCATTCGAGAGCTGGAGATCGAGGTTGAGGGTCACTGGAGAGTCGCAGAGGCGGTAGAGGAGACGCTGCAGACAAGCTTCCCCGACGGTGACGGTGTGTTGTACCCCTTCAACATCACATGGGAGACGGCCGGCTGCAGTGTCACACTGACGGCCGAACGAATCGACACTTAGAAAAGGTCAGACCATGTCATGGACAGCAAGCAACAGCAAGCAACCGTGCGGCTGGCACTCATATTCTGCGTCGTGTGTGCGACTTGTCGACGTTAGGTGCTGCACCGACGGTAGATCGGCTGGCTGTGTGTGGGATGCTGGGAGGGGGAGGGAGAGGTGGGGGACGACTGCGTGCTCGTGGATAGGCTGCTCGGGGGCTGGCTGATTGAGTGCGCGTTTCGTTCATGTGTATGCCTCTCGTGTACAGACAGACTTCGTTCGTGTATCGATCGGTTAATGTGATGACGTGTTACCCACCATTGTCCCACGCACGCTGGCCCAAGTCACGCAAAGAAGCTTGCTTGTGTCGGAGGAGCTGAGCTACCCAAGCAAAAAGACAGACACCCGCGAGTGCAGTGCAGTGCATAGACACAGAGATAAAGGCCGGGAAAAGACATGCGATGCAGAGCCCTCACACACGAGCATATATACACACAGATTATGTACACCCGTCTCGCTGCCTGCCTTGCTGACAATCGGCAAGACACATACACACACCCCTGCTCAGCACGACAAACCACGTGAAAAGTAGCGTGCACCGCCCCACTCATCGCCCCACTCAATTCATGGGCCCATCACACACACCCTCACACACACAGCGACCGAACGCCGCGGTCTGCTTCACGCTAGCGCAGATGCCTGCCCTGCCAGGTCAACTGCTTCTCGAGACGGCTCACATTCTGGCTCCCTCCCAAATGAAAGCGAAGACTGACGGGCCGGAGGAGGCGACGTGTCGGGGCTGCCGACTGTCACCAGCGGGGGCTCCTCTTCCGGCTCATTCGGGGGACGGCGGGGGTGAGGTGGTGCAGAGGGCCGTGCGCGGGCGACCAATAGCTCTCGTCGCGGCGCGCCGACAGATTTGCATTTGCGTGTTGCAATGCAGACCCAGATACCGATGATGAAAAGGAGGACACCCACCGACGACATGATGATAATATTATGTGACGACGCCTTTTTGCCGAGCTCGTGCCCAGCGCCGAGATTCGAGTCGACCGGAGGGATTTGATTGAACATCTTGCCCCCGGCAGAGAGCGACCGCCTCAGGTGCGGGTGAGAAGCAGCACTGTGGACAGAGGACGCAGCAGGAGGGTTGTCGTCACCACCACTCGGCTGCAAGGGACACACGTGAGGCAGGGCGTCATCGGTGTCTGGCGTGCCGCGTACCGAATGAACGCGAAGATACCATCCACCGCCGATAAGAGCTGCGAGTCCAGCGACAACAATGCAGATGCCCACAACGTACCTCGCAACGTACTTCCAAGTGCTGATGTCACCACCAGCGGACACTCCCATTGGTTGCACCATCTTCTTCGCAGGAGGAAGAGCTGTCTTGCTGACGCAGTATTAGGCAGTATTGAAGGGAAACTGTCATTAACCGTAACACTCGTCTGTGTGTCCGTGATACTCATACAAATACAGTCCCATCAGCACGCAGACTCAAACAGGCTCAAGGGGAGGAGGGATCAATCCCCGCCCCATCAGCACACCCCAGTCCCGCAAACCCTCCCCTCCCTCCCCCACGCAGACAGAAGCTAGTCGCACGCGCGAGAGCGAT